AGAAGGAAGAAGAAGTTCATAATGAGAAGAACTTGTTCAACCTTTTGTTTGAATTCATCATTTGATGTATCAACATTGCCAGGTAGAGTTCATAATGAAAAGAACTCGTCATCTGAAGAAGGAAGAAGAAGTTCATAATAAGAAGAACTTGTTCAATAATTCTATCACAGAAGGAGATAGATTAGCATCAGCCTTTCTAGAGAAAGTTCATAATGAGAAGAACTCATCAAAAGCTTATTCAACCTTTTGAATGACTCTATCACAGAAAGAAAGAGGTCAGCATCATCCCAGCAGAAAGTTCATAATGAGAAGAACTCATCTGAAGAAAGAGAAGAATTTATTCAATATCTCCATTATGATCAAGTGAAGCCAAATGGATAAAAAAATTTATTATCTTTTCATCTTTGCCCTATTCTTGTTATCACAAGAATGAGCAAAGAGGGGCAGCTGAAGATACTAATTTTTTACCCATATTATAATTATTATTATTATTATTATTATTATCATTATTATTATTATTATTATTATTATCATTATTATTATTATTATTAAATATATATTAAATACATATATAAATAATATTAAATTACAAAGCCCAATCAACCGGCCCAAAACCCAAACCAAACTGAAACCCAAAACATTTAGGGTTTCAGTTAGGGTTTCCTAACCCTAATCCCATGCTCAGCCACCTCTAGCCAGCCGCCTCAGACTGACCGTTGGATCTGGTATGATCCAACGGTCCAAGAGCCTCCAGATGGAAACCCTAGGGTATGATACCCTAGGGCCACACGGCCGCCGCTGCTGCTCCAGCCGCCTCCGCCGCTGCCACGTCCCAAACGAAGGCTCCAGAAGCTCCAACGCCAGCCGTCCACGCCATGGCTAAGGGGTGAGTCACCACTGGTAGTCCGGTGACTCACCGAAACCCCCTCTTCGGACCGGTCCGAGGATCACACCGGTGGTGGCTATAAAAGCCACCACCCGAACCTGAAAAAGAGAAAAAAGAAGACAGAAAAAAAGAAGAACAGAGAGACAGAGAACAGATCCTAGGGAGACAAAACCGAAAAAAAAAATACAAAATACTACCAACGATCTCAGTCAACATCTCACAACCAGAACCAGAAAAGAAAGAAAAAGGAAGAAGAGAAACTTACTGAGGAAGCCCCGACCACCGGATCTCACCAAAACCTTCGAACAACCGAAGGTACTTTTGTAGATTTGCTCCAATTAGGAGCCATTTAGAAGAAAAGAACACCGGGACCGTCCTTAGGACGGTCCGATCTATTTAATGGTTGAAAAATAAAATTTTCCGGCCACCAGATACGGTGGCCGGCGGTGACGGTCACGGCGGCAGACGGTTGCCGTCCGGTGACCGGCTTCCCTCCGATGAGGGAAGCTAGAGAGAAGCCAGAGCTCTCTCTCTGCTTGAGAGAGAAAGAAAAATTTGAAATGAAGGCTGGCCCGAAGGGCCAGCCAGTTTTGGACCTTTTATAGTCCTTCCCGAACGACGTCGTTTCGGGAAAGACTATGCGCGTAATTAGATGATAGTTAAACTCCGTCCGTAGTCCTCCGAACTTGTAAACTTTACATTTTAGTCACTGAATTAAATTTATAATACTTTTAACTTGATCTCGAAATTTTAATTTTATTTATTTTAGTCCTTTTTATTAAAATAATATATTTAGGATAAATAACAGAATTAATCCCTTAATTTTAATAAATATTATTTTAATCCATAGTTTATATTTTTAATTTATTTTATTATAATATCCAAATTTTAGATAAATTTATTTTAGTCACTAAATAAATAAAATAAATAAATAGCATGTTTAATCCTTAATATTTTGATTAATTATGAATTAGGTTTTTAATTTTATTTTTACTATAATTTAGTCATTTATTTTAAATATATCGTTCTAGTTGTATTTTTATTGTTTTAATTTTACTTGTTTATTTATTTAAATATTTTTATAGTCATAAATATATATATAATAAATAAATATTTATTTCAAATAAATTATTTTAATATTTATTTTTCAATATCGAAGAAAATGACAGTCTTAATACAACTGGATGTCCTATTCTGGTATTTTAAAATTAAATATTATAAAAAAAAATTATTATTTAATTTTATGTAAATTAATCAATATCAAAGAAAAGAGCTGTCTTAAGGCACCTAGAAGTTCTTTTCTGATATTTTTAAATAAATAAATATTTTTTTATATAATTTTGAAATAATAAGATTATAAATTAAATATATTTTTGAATTTTTAAATTTTAATAATAGAGACAATTTATAATTAAAAAGTACCAATTTTGGACGTTGTAGGGGTGCTAATCCTTCCCTAAACGTAATCGACCACGAATCCCTTTTTATTATTAAAAATAACGAATTTTTGGTTATAAACGCAGATCAGTTCATTTTTTATTAGTGTTTTCTTAAAACTCTTTTAAAAAAATAACTTTTAGGTATTCGACCTACCTGACCCAAAAGGCCGATGGCGACTCTCAAATTATTTTCAAAACTATTTATTCACATCACTTTTCCCGTCAAGAAAATTTTTCGTGCCCGGACGAAAACCGGTTACGACAAAGACCATTTAAGATCATCTAACTTTTGTGACACCAATAATTTTCTCCTTAACCATTCATAATGGATTAAATTTTAACATTTTGGCAAAATATTTTATGATTTTACCAAGTTCGATTTGCAAAACATGAGGGGATGATTTCATGCACATATTAGATCTTTGAATGCTCCATGAATGGTCATGTCAAAGTTATGCATAAAGGTCAAGAGTAAGGATCAATGTTCTTGTACTTTTAATTTGGATGAATGGTCTATGTCAAATGTATGCTTCAATGTTTATCATCTGGGTATACCAGGGGATTCCCAACAATGGGTTGTTTTCAGAAGTTCCTAAATTGTGCTTTATCTTTATAATTGGTTTTGGTTTCTTTTGTAAAACTCTTTTGAGGCATGTAGTTAAAGGGCCAAGGTCGACGGTGAGCTCGTTTTTGTAACTGGGAAGGGCAACGCGGCAGTAAAGTCCTCACCGGATCTCAGCAGGAACTGTTCTTGGTTCATGTATGAGATAATACTAGAATTAGATTACCTTATCTGTTTCTGTCAAACATAACTAGAGATTATCATGCTTAAGAAAAATCCTCAAGGTACAAGAAAACATTAAGAGGCCAGTAGTTATGCTTTGTTTCTAACATAATGTCCTACAATTTGTGCATACACAGTTGAATTTCATTCATTCAGTGAATCTGCACTTTTTTCTAAAATTATTTCAGTAATTCTCTTTTTGAAACCACATGCAGTCATCAAAACTGCCAACATGACGGCCACATCCGTCTATGAATCTAAATAATAGACTGTATAGGAACCGGCCACTGAAATAAGCAGCCACATATAAAAGAGTCTCTATACCAAAGCCATAGATTGTAATGTTTGGCAGTTCTCATCAATTTGGGACTAGAAAAAACATCATAAGCTTGGTTGGCTCTATGTTTTCCTTCAACCTATCACCCCTTCAAAGTAAAAGTCCCCAGAGGCTATAATGTTCATCACCAACTCTTCACTTGTACAAGTCAAGAAACAACTTCACATGAGCTCATAATAATTCGTTTACGGGTCTAATCGGTAAGGCCATTGAATACTACATTATATATATGTGTGTGTGGGGGCGTGAATGTTTGTTTGATTAGTAGTACTGATGAAAAATAAGCAATTTGATCTGAATGTTGATGCCTAGAAGTTAGTCTTTCACCCAACTGATGTGTCGGACGTGCATTGGAATCATAAAGTCCATGATAATCCATAAGAATTTTCTGGGCCACCATAATTGTTTTCTTATTGATTGGTAGGCCATGATAAATCCATGATTGAAATTTTTGTTTGTTTGTGAATCTATCAAAGTATTACTGATATAAAGGAAAATCCATGTGAGTCACGACCTATGTCCTTGAACAGATCCCCCCATTAAAGCGAGTCATTTCTTGGCCACTTAATCCACTTCCATTTACTGGTCAAAGTACACAGACACCAGTTTTTCCATGAATATTACTTTCCAGCTGAAAATAAATCAAGTCATGGCCTTTTGTCCTTGAAGACCACAAACGTGCCGAGTGGCTATTTTTCTAATGTCTACGTCGGAGAAGAGTTTAGTACTAGAAATTCTTGAGGAGTTCAAAAATGAGTTTTAAGGTCAAATAGAATGAAATAATTTTTGTCTAATCCATGGATGGATCTCTTGAAGTCTAGATTTGGTGATTCTTCCATAAAATCAAAAATTACAAGAGTGGCTAGTATAGTACGTTGTGTTTTATGGTTAGACCTTAACCGTTTAATCCCTTAAATATGGAGGCTTAACCAACCAAGTTCCGAAACTTCAGTTCAACTCTTGTCGAAGACATCAAATAATGTCGGATTGATAACCTGGTTTCATTGTGTTTCATCTTGCAAACACAGGCATAGAACAGGCCTTAAATCCTAATTATGAGGAAACGTGTAGGGCAGTAATTAACCTAAAGACTCGTATTAGCTAGTGGAGATGTTAATTTTTATATATATCTTGTTGGTCTCCACTCTATAGCATTTCATCCATATGATGTGTCAAGTCTTCATCATCATCATCATCATCATCTAGCCATGATAAATAATATTTTAAATGGGCCATGATTGTTGTTTGTTCCACAATGGTTAATTATGATAAGCTGCAATTTGCAAAAGGCATTAGACGTTAGGGATACAGGGCCATGTGATTCCTCACTACATATGTCTCTGAAAGCGTTCTTTCTTCACCACTCGAGACTATTGACCCACAAAGCATTTTACTCTATAAATACCAAATTCTAACGGATAGCCACCTCGTGCCAATTGCAGCATTTCCTCGTCCACACTACTTGTTAAAGAACAATCTCAAATTATGGTGTTTTGGTTGCCGAGAATTGTAAATGCTAAGACGAGTCCGAAACAGAGCCTTTCGTCCTCAGAGATGACAGTGGTGCCTAAAGGCCACTTTGTTGTTTATGTTGGAGAAGTCAAAAAGAAGAGATTCGTTGTACCGATTTCGTTCCTCAAGCATCCTTCCTTCCAAAATTTATTGAGTCAAGCAGAAGAAGAGTTCGGATTCAATCATCCTTTGGGTGCGTTGGTGATTCCCTGCAGCGAAGAAGCTTTCCTTGATCTCACTTGCTGTCTGCAAAGATCATGATAGTTGATATTAAAATGGCTAACTTAGCAGAGAATAACAATGTAGCATAAAAGCAAGTGTAAATGGTGAACTTGATTACTTTTTGTAAGGACTTTGTAAATGAGAAAATTCCTTTTATCAGACATTCTTGCCATTGTTATTTTGCTTTGATCTATGGTACCCCTGAAGAATATACCATATCCTACAATAGAATATGCACTTTATTTGAGGACTCCTCTCTCAACAACAAAGCCTAAAAGCCTTCAAAGGACTTTCATTGAGAGAAGAAATAGGTAAGGGGTAAGGGTCCCCTTGCCTAATCCCTCTCCCTCCTTGGAAGTACCCTATTAAACCTATGTTGGTGGTTCACCCTGATGATTATATACTGACCTTTAATATTGATGTCTAGGATGATAATGGTTATTCGTAGGTTGACTGACCGTATTCGTAGGATGATTTATATACATACCCTCAGTATCGACTCGAATGGAATCAATAACAAATATTATTTTGCTTCAAAATGTTTCACCTATATGATCTGCTAGATAAAGTTGTTATCAAAACTAACAAGCGATGATTCAATGATAGTGTTTGATTTCAAGTGGATCATCATTGTTGGTTTCATTGAATGGTAAGGCATTGTAGATTGCGACAGAAAGACTATATGGTGGGGTTAATTTGTCAATAACTATATCATTTTGAATGCGATGCCATGTGATTCCACATAGCAATTATGTCTTTAAAGATCTTCCTTGGGGGCTTTCTCTTCACCACACAATCAACATGATTACTAATAAGGCATTTGGTCTTTCACAAATACAAATTCTAATGGATAGCCACCTTCTGCCAATTACTTGCAGCATTTCCTCATCCACACTACTAGTCACACAACAATCTCGAATTATAGTTTTCGGTTGCCGAGAATTGTGAATGCTAAGACGAGCCCGAAACGGAGCCTTTCGTTCTCCTCAGAGAGGACAGTGATGCCTAAAGGCCACTTCGCTGTTTACTTCGGAGAAGCCGAAAAGAAGAGATCCGTCATGCCGATTTCATCAGAAAATGGGGTAGGGAGAATTGAGTGAGGGGAGAAGTCAGTTGTCTCATCTGCTTAATGATTTCATCATATGCTAAGTTTATGATGCATATATTTAGCAATTGATTTAGAAAAACCTCTAATGTATTCTCAATATGACCATTTGATTCAGTTACTGAAAAGGTGTTCTCCATCAGTATGTAGTCTCTTCCAACACCCCACATTGTCAAATTGGTATGCCGTTTGACCTAGTGAGCAACTCAGTCTCTCATCTGAGTAATAAGTATTAGAATCTATAAAGTAATTTATAGCCCCGAAAAATAAAGGCCTATTAGCTCATTTGGTTAGAGCGTCGTGCTAATAACGCGAAGGTGGCAGGTTAAAGACCTGCATGGGCCATGCATTTTCCTGCTACCCTTTAAAGAAAATGATGCCGTTTTGAACTTTGTTTAATGGTACTTTTTATATTGGAATAAGCCCTTCAATTTTGTCACTTTCCTTAGAAAAGCTCATAACACTTTTTGTACGTTCAAGTAAACCTATGAAATATAGTTGATACCCAAATAAGCCCCTTAAACTTTACCATTTCATTTAAATCCTTTGTACACTTTTTTTAGTCCAAATAAGCCCTTATAGCCTTTATTAGTCCAAAATAATCCCTTATACGCTTTATTAGTCCAAAATAAGACCTTATAGATTTTAATTGATAAACAAATACGCTCTTGTACACTTTAATTAATAACCAAATAAGCCCTTATACACTTTAATTGATATCCAAATGAGCCCTTACACACTTTAATTGATAACCAAATGAGCCCTTAATATATTTTGTAAAAAGTAAGCTATTTGGATTTGAAAAATATGAAATAATGTTCAAAGGCTTATTTGGATGTGAAAAGTATATAATGAATTATATAAAGTTGGATATATTGTCGACTCCACCACGAATTGTTGCTATCCAATTAAACCCAATCCCCTCCCATCCACACGTGTGTCCGTGTCCATCTAACGGCTCAAACTCACTCTGTCGCACCAAGCCAACCACATCTCCGCCGTCCAAACTATAACCAAAGTCCCTAACCCCTTTACCTTGGAATATCAAAAAGTAGAAAGGATCCGGCAACCGGAACCAATCGTATCCGAGACAACAACGACACCGAGAGTCCTCACCATAATCTCCTCAGTCTTACAAAAGCTAGTGGCCCGAAACGACCGGCTCGTCGAGGTCCTTGTTAAAAGTCCAAAGGTTGGCAACCAACTTTGAAAATGGTTTTCAAAGTTTGATAAATGTTTCTTTGAAAATGGTTTTCAAAGTTTGGTAAAGTTTGGTAGATGTTTGTTGAAAATAGGAATGGGTAAATTCACTTTAGTCATTGCACTGTAGGGTATTTTCAAAGATTAGTCCCTAAGTTTCAACTATAAATACCTAGCTCATTTAGCTTCAATATCATCCCAAAATCCCAAAAAAATCATTTCTTTCTCCCAATACTAGAGAGCTTTCTTGTGAGTAGTGAGTGTTTTGTAAATACCTGTAAATTTTCTCTCTTAGTAAAAGATCTGCAGCAATCCGGAGACGTAAGCAAATTGGTTGAACTCCGTTATCAATTTCGGGTATTATTTTTCCGCTTTTATTTCGCATTCTCACTAATCTGGTTATAGGGAAATTACTTGTTTACTCGTTTATTTCCCAACAACTGGCATCAGAGCTTTTGGTTGTGAATTTTGTCAATTTTTTTGCGAGGTTACTATTCATTACTATTCACGTGAATAGTGAATTTTGTGAATAGTAAAAATTTTGTCGGCGATACGAGTTTGTCGACGGAGGTGTTCTTATACACGGTGGTTCGCAAGAATTGTCAGAAACGATCCAAACGAAACCAGTTTCGAGTGGGAGCGATGGCTGTAGACGAAGGGAATGTGAAAATTGAAAAGTTCGATGGTGCGGACTTTGGCTTTTGGAAGATGCAGATCGAAGATTTTTTGTACCAGAAAAATCTATATCAACCTCTCTCAGGAAAGCAACCAGAGAGCATGAAGAATGAAGACTGGGCTCTTCTCGACAGACAAGCCCTCGGAGTTATCCGACTGACGTTATCCCGCAATGTTGCTTTCAACATAGCAAAGGAAAAGACCACGACGGGTCTTATGGCGGCTCTCTCCAGTATGTATGAGAAGCCATCAGCCTCAAACAAAGTGCATTTGATGAGGCGATTATTCAATTTGCGGATGACGGAAGGGGCATCGATGGCACAACACCTAAATGAACTCAACACAATCACAACTCAGTTGAGTTCAGTGGAAATTGAATTCGATGATGAAGTTCGAGCTTTAATTCTCTTATCATCTCTACCAGACAGTTGGAATGCTACTGTTACAGCAGTTAGCAGCTCATCGGGAAATAATAAATTGAAATTCGACGATGTTCGGGATCTGGTACTGAGCGAAGGAATTTGACGGAGAGAATCGGGTGAAACATCAACCTCCTCAGTCTTACACATGGAGTCCAGAGGGAGAACTTCAGAAAGAAATTCAAATCATGGCAGATCTAAATCCAGAACAGGAAAATCAAGAACGGGAAAGAAAGATTTTACCTGTTATAATTGTGGCAAGAAGGGTCACTTTAAAAGAGACTGTCGAGCACTGAAGAAAGATACCGGTGCATAGGAATCTGCCAACATGACAGAGGAGACATGTGATGCCATGATTCTAAGAGTCAACACTCCGATTGAATCATGGATCTTGGATTCAGGGGCATCTTTCCACTCGGACCCCATGCCAAGAAGTCATGGAGAACTATGTCAGTGGTGATTTTGGGAAGGTTCATCTAGCCGATGATGAAACCTTGAAGATCATCGGAAAAAGAGATATCCGATTAAAGTTGCAAAACCAGACCACCTGGAAGCTGACAGGAGTGAGACATATTCCTGGCCTCAAAAGGAATTTGATTTATGTAGGACAGCTTGATGGAGAAGGATATAGTACAACCTTTTCAGGCTGTGAATGGAAGATTATCAAAGGAGTACTCGTCATTGCTCGTGGTAAGAAAACTGGTACTCTCTATATAACCTCAAATTTAGAGAATATCATTGCAGTAGCAGATGCTGATGGAAAATCAAACCTATGGCACCAAAGGCTTGGTCATATGAGCGAGAAAGGGATGAAGACACTTTTTTCAAATGGGAAGTTGTCGGATCTAAAAAATGTAGATGTCGGACTATGCGAGGATTGCATATATTTGGCAAACAAAAGAAAGTCAGCTTTGCAAAGATTGGTAAGACACCCAAGGCTGAAAAGTTAGAGTTGGTCCATACTGATGTATGGGGATCATCTCCAGTTCCATCTCTTGCATGCTCATTATATTATGTCACCTTCATCGATGATTCTACAAGAAAGGTATAGGTTTATTTTCTGAAGAAGAAATCAGAAGTCTTTGATACCTTCAGAAAATGGAAGGTCATGGTGGAAAATGAGACTGGTTTGAAAGTCAAGCGGTTGAGGTCTGACAATGGAGGAGAGTACAAAAATAGAAGATTCAGAGATTTCTGCGCAAACAATGGGATCAAGATGGAGATACCAGTTCCCATGACACCGCAGCATAATGGCGTAGCAGAGCGCATGAACAGAACTCTGAATGAACGTGCCATAAGCATGAGGATACATGTCGGATTGCCCAAATTTCTATGGGCTGAAGCTATCAACACTACAGCTTACTTGATCAATCGTGGGCCCTCAATTCCTTTGGATGTCAGAATACTAGAGGAAGTTTGAAGCAAGAAAGAAATAAACCTTTCACACTTAAGAGTGTTTGGTTGTATTTCTTATGTACACATAGACTCTGCTGAAAGAAGTAAACTTGATGCTAAGTCCAACAAATGTGCATTTGTTGGTTATGGCGGTGATGAGTTCGGTTACTGGTTTTGGGACTACGAAAATCGGAAGATCATCAGAAGCAGAGATGTCATTTTCAATGAGAATGTGATGTACAAAGACAAGTCAACCATAGAATCAAGTAGCTCCAATGTTGAAGTTGAAACAAAGGAATTTGCTGAGTTCGAGGAGATTTCTGGAAATGATGTTCAGATCAGTCCTGAAGCAGTTCAAGAAGAACCAGTCACACCAGAACTGAGACGCTCCTCCAGAATTCCTAAACCAACCCAACGATATTCTCCTTCTTTGCACTACTTATTGCTGACTGACAATGGTGAACCAGAGTGCTATGATGAAGAATTGTAAGTGGAGGATTCAGTCAAGTGGGAGTCTTCCATGAAAGATGAGATGGATTCGCTTATGTCAAATCAGACGTGAGAATTAGCTGAATTACCACCAGGCAAGAAAGTACTCCACAACAAGTGGATTTACAGGATCAAGGAAGAGCACGATGGGAGCAAACGCTACAAAGCGAGATTGGTTGTCAAAGGTTTTCAACAAAAAAAGGTATTGACTATAATGAAATTTTCTCTCCGATCGTGAAGCTGTCTACAATTAGACTGGTATTGAAAATTGTAACTGCAGAGAATTTACATCTTGAGCAGTTAGATGTAAAGATAGCTTTCCTTCATGGTGATTTGGAGGAAGAAATCTATATGAGGCAGCCAGAAGGCTTCATAGAGGCAGGCAAGAAAAACCTGGTATGCAGGTTGAAGAAGAGCTTGTATGGTTTAAAACAAGCTCCTAGACAGTGGTACAAGAAGTTCGATAGCTTCATGGGTAGCAGTGGTTTTACCAGATGCCAAGCATATCATTGTTGTTATATCAAGAGGTTCGACAATAGCTTCATTATTTTATTGTTGTACGTTGATGACATGCTCGTTGCAGGCTTAGCTATGCAAGAGATTATAAACTTGAAGAAAAAATTGTCGAAGCAGTTTGCAATGAAAGATCTGGGCGCTGCAAAGCAGATTCTTGGGATGAGGATCAAGAGAGACACAAAGTCGGGGACTTTGATGTTATCACAGGCTGAGTACATCAACAAAGTACTCTCCAGGTTCAACATGCAAGATGCTAAACCAGTAAGTACACCTTTAGGTGTTCATTTCAGACTCTCCAAAGATCAGTCACCAAAGACGGAGGAAGAACGTGCACACATGATGAAGGTGTCGTATGCCTCAGCAATTGGAAGTCTGATGTATGTCATGGTTTGTACCAGACCAGATATTTCTCATGCAGTGAGAGCTTTTTAGCAGGTACATGAATAATCCGGGCAAGGTATATTGGGAAGCAGTCAAATAGATCCTCAGATATCTGCGAGGTACCACAAACAAAGCACTTTGTTTCAAAGGAGGAGATACGATGCTGACAGGTTATGTAGATGCTGACTTAGCCGGAAATGTTGACATCAGAAGGAGCACTACAGGGTATGTCTATACTCTAGGAGGAACTGCAGTGAGTTGGGTTTGTCAACTACAGAAGATAGTTGCTCTCTTCACAACTGAAGCAGAATATGTCGCTGTTACGGAAGCCAGCAAGGAGATGGTCTGGCTCCAAAGTTTCTTGGAAGAGTTAGGCAAGAAACAAGAAAACATTGTCTTGTATTGCGACAGTCAAAGTGTTATCCATTTAGCAAAGAATCCGTCTTTTCATTCCAGGACGAAGCACATACAATTGCGATATCATTTTATTCTGTCTCTTTTGGAAGATGAGATTTTGAAAAGATTAGTGGAGCTCAAAATCCGGTAGACATGTTGACAAAGAGGGTGACCGCGGACAAACTGAAGTTGTGTTCAGCTTCAGTTGGCATGCAAGAATAACAAGACTAGAAATGCTGCTGCATCGATCGAGATGTGAAGACAGATTAAAATCAGTCTTCAAGTGTGAGATTATTAAAAAGTCCAAAGGTTGGCAACCAACTTTGAAAATGGTTTTCAAAATTTGGTAAATGTTTCTTTGAAAATGGTTTTCAAAGTTTGGTAAATGTTTCTTTGAGAAATGTTTTTCAAAGTTTGGTAGATGTTTGTTGAAAATAGGAATGGGTAAATTCACTTTAGTCATTGCACTATAGGGTATTTTCAAAGATTAGTCCCTAAGTTTCAACTATAAATACCCTAGCTCATTTAGCTTCAATATCATCCCAAAATCCCAAAAAAATCATTTCTTTCTCCCAATACTAGAGAGCTTTCTTGTGAGTAGTGAGTGTTTTGTAAACATCTGTAAACTTTCTCTCTTAGTAAAAGATCTGTAGCAGTCCGGAGACGTAAACAAATTGGCTGAACTCCGTTATCAATTTTGAGTATTATTTTTTTTCTTTTATTTCACATTCTCACTTAGGGAAATTACTTGTTTACTCGTTTATTTCCTAACAGTCCTAACCGAGCAGCCGAATGGGCTGAACTCGAACGCCACTGGACATAATACTTCGGCTCCCCTAGGGAAATGCTTGCATGCGTTTCATGGCGTTAGGGCTCCCAATATAAGCATACTGAAGTACTTGGAGAGGATTTATAAGTACACAAATTGCAGTCCTTCGTGCTTCGTGTTGGGATACGTTTATATAGACATGTTGGCACATAAACATCCGAATTCGCCCCTCGTATCATTGAATGTGCATAGATTGCTTGTTACTTGTGTCATGGTTGCTGCTAAGGTTCTTGATGATGCGTAAGTATTCTTCTTCTTCTTCTTTAAAATCTTGGTGTTTTTTAAGGAATATTTTATGGTTATTGGCAATGTTTGAGGCACTACAACAATGGGTTCTATACTCGGGTGGGAGGAGTGACCAGTGCTGAACTGAACCGGCTAGAAATGAAATTGCTTTTCCTTTTGGATTTCGGAGTGGCGGTTAGCTCTCGAGTTTTCAAGACCTATTACTTCCACTTGGACACAAGAGATGTTCATTAATGGTGCTGGTTGGGAAATCGGAATGGGATAAGCCCCATAGCCGTCGATGATATCATCGACGATATATGTTGATTTTTTCTCTATTTCTAGCCATGGGTTGACCCGGAATTCTTCCATCACTCAAGTCCCCTTACTCGTATAATTATATTTGTATGAGTTGAGTACATTTAGTCAGCTCGGTAATAAAATAGAACTGGGATGGACCGAGGGACGAGTGGGACAGTCGCCCTGAAATTTTAAAATTATTGTATATTTTAGATTTTTTTATGTATTTTCTATTGAAAATTTGTTTTCGCTGCCCTGGAATTTTATAAGTTCTAATTCACCATCTAACATAAAATTTTGTGTCAGTCCTTGAAATAGAATATTATTTTTATTAAAATATTTGAGTTCGAATAGCTACATTTACAAGATGTGTTTGTTATTAATCAATAAATTAAAAAAATCTATACTATCGTATTTTTTTAATAGAGTATACTATTTTGTAATTACTCTAGAGTATTATATTTTGTAATTACTCTAGAGTATTAAAAGGAAAAATTTGTATGTATTATGCATAATCATACTTTGATCTAAATATTTTTTAATTAAATAAAAATTGGAGTTAATTGCGTTACATATTCTCATATTATGATTATGATTCTTATTTTAAATTGAACTCTAAAATTTTGAATATTTTAATTAAATCTCCAAGTTATAACTTTCATTCTAAAGTAATCCTCAAGCTTTTGAATATTTCAATTTCATCCTAAATTATGATCCTCATTCTAAATTGGTCTCCAAACTTTTAAACATTCAATTTCGTCACAAACTATTGATTTATGCTAATCACATCCCACTAAATTTTAAGAATAATGTGGGTGGATTTTTTTTAAAAGAAATAGGGGTGTTTAAAAATTACTTTGGAATCTAGGGCATTTGCTACATTGCACATGGAACTTGTATGGAATCTTCACCCCCTTGTGATAAGTTTCAATTTTTTAATATATTTTATGGAACTCTTCAGACGAGTTCTACGTGTACTGTACCAAATGACCTAGATCCCAAAATAATTCTCAAACACCCATAGTTTTCAAAACTTTTCCCGCCCACCCCATATAACCAACAAAGCCAATCACATTCATGTTAATAAAATTGTTAGGTAATGCAATATTATTATATTTTTGAGAAAAAAAGGTTAAGTTATGGTTGAAATTGTATTTGAATGAATCTGGGGTTGATATTGGAGATTCAAAAGTTTGATGATCAATTTAGAATGAGTCATAGTTTGGGATAAAACTAAAATGTTTAGAAGTTTTAGGACTAATTTGGAATGAGAGTCTGTGTTTAGAGATGAAATTAGAGAATTCAGAAATATGAAGACTAATTTAGAATGATGGATATAGTTTGGGGATGTATGATGTAATTAACTTTAATGGTTAAGAAGGAAAGAAAATGAACAACAACAAAATATCCATAGTTGACGCAAAAAAGAAGAAATCTTTATTTACAGAGCGAAATTGGTGAATTTCTCATTTTATATATTTGAGTGATTTAATTAAATGGTGTTGAGGTGCTGAGAATCTGAAAAAAATAAGCTTCCTCTCGCTCGCAACGAGAACAGCTTTTGCTCGATCGAGCGGCGTTGTCTTTTCACTAATCCAGTTGCCATGGCGGAGCCATCTTCGTCTTTGTCGTCATCCAAGGACGAGCTGATTCAGCTCATCAAGCGTCTCGGAACTTATCTGGCCCTCAAGATGTCAAATCTCTTCTCGATCTCGTTACACAAACTGGTTCTCTCTCTCTTGAATTCTTTTCTCTCGTCTTTTTTGCGAATCCGATGCGACCTTTTTGTTGCTTGAAAACGACATTTTATTCTTACTTTTTCATAATTAGTTCTATGATTTTGGTATTTATTGGTGATTTTAGCGGAATATTGATTTTTATTTGAAAATCTGTCTACTGAAGAAAATTATAATAATGGAGAAATTAATCTTATTGCAGCTTTGAATTCTCGTATTTTAGATAAATTATTTACTTCTTCTACTGGTTTACTATATGATAATTGTTACGGACAATAAATGGTGTTGATTCGTCTCCAATGCGAGCTTCTTTCTTGACGTTATTGATTTTTGAGCTTTACTGCTATGAGAAGAATGAAAATTGCTATATTGAGGTGAAAGGCACCTCAAATCAGTTGTTGACATTACAGAAGTTACTTCAGAATGATGGTTTTAAGAAGGCATGCACTACTGTCTGCTATTGAATCAAGAAATGATTTTTTTTTTCTTTTTTTAGCTATGGGCATCCGGGGTTGTAGAGCTGCCCTTAGTTTTATCCTTCATTTTCTGTTCAATGTGTATGAAGCTATTATGTTCTTTTTAGCAATGTTTCCGAAGGTGATGTGTATGTTCTTACCATGTCCATATTGGCATCAGGATCCACGATCTGTTGGGGCTATTGCAGGGCTTGCTGTTGCAATTATCTTTACCTATAGGTTTATGAGATCACCTGCAGCACCCCCAGGAAGGCAACCAAAACGTCAAACTCCATCAACTAGTAGCTCTTCTATCAGTACCCAGTCAAATGCAACATTGACGCCGTCTGGAGTTTGTTCACCTTCAGAGGATTTAAGAGCACAAAATGTTGTTGATGAGTTCTTCCAGCCAGTAAAGGTACGACCTCTTTCTACGGCGTTTTGATATGTTTTTTACTCTCTCTCCAATTATAATTTGCGTCTCTCTTTTTCCTCTTTGCAGCCAACATTAGGGCAAATAATTAGGCAGAAACTGAGTGAAGGTAGGAAGGTAACCTACAGATACTCCTTAGTCCTTAATGGTTAATACAATGAGAAAATATTTTGTTTGTGTCCTTTTTTTTCTGGAAGTTGGATTCTTTGATATGTTCTGAGACTATGGACAGAGTTAGAAATGAGGATTTCTTTTTTTGCTCATTCAAACATATTGGTTGCTTTGTTTAGGATTTTTTGATGTGATAACCATTCTCCTTTAGCACTGATTAACAACTGGAAAGAACTTTAAATTTTTTGAAAAATTTTCAGTTTCTATGCTTGTAGTTTGGTAAATTGGCCAGGTTAACTGAGCAGCTTTTATAGTCATCTCATACAATCCCTGGATCCTCTTTGAGTGGGTTTTTGATTCTAGTATTGGATTTCATTGTCGCTATCAATTGTTTAAATGGGTCTATTTGTCAGAATAACTTGCTAAAGTAAATGTGAAAATAATACCAAGATTCAGCATATTCCATATATCCACTGTTTTCAATTAACTTGTGTTGGTCAATTTTTTAACTGAAGCTATCACGGAATATTGCTATTGTAAATCTAGAAATCTGCCTACACCTTGAATGTGCACCTGAGTCTTATGTGACATGCTTGGTTATTACCGACAGCCATTACCTGGTATTGTCATAACTAGCTGCTGTACTACTATGTGGCAGAATTTGTTGAATTGATTCTGTGCTGTTAGTTTAGCCTTTGCATACTAATACTAAGCACTGGTAACTTCTACTGAACTTTGCCAGGAGCTATATAACCTTCTAGTTTTATCATACTGCAAAAGTACGTTAGTCTCTCCGTACTAATTACCTCTAGACTTTCATGCATAAGTTTTGGGCACGTTGGTATTAATCCATATGCTGTTTTATCAAGTCATTGGTCAGGGCCTTTTTAAGGTCTTCGTCTAACTTTAATGGTGTGACAACTTATTGTTGTAGGTAACATGCCGTTTGGTTGGAGTTATCCTTGAGGAAAGCAGTCCAGAGGAGCTGCAGGTGTTAATCTTTTCTGTGAGCTTTATGTTTCTAACTTTATCTGCATATGGTTAATTTGATTTGTCTAATTTTGGATAGAAACAAGCAACAGTGAGGTCCTCTGTGTTGGATGTGCTATTGGAGATAACCAAATTTTGCGATCTTTATCTCATGGAAAGAGTTATTGATGATGAAAGTGAAGTGAGTTCAAACCTTTTTCTATTGTATTAATTTATGCTAATTTGTCAAAGCTTAAACTTCCTTAAATGTCTTCTATGATATATTAGGTGTTTGAAGGTTTTGATAGGCATATTCTTCTAATTACAAGCGAAATTTTCCTCCTTGTTTTACTTTTCTTTGTGTGTGCCCACACTCTCGAGTGTGGCATTGCAGGTGCAGTATTCCTCCTTATTTGTTTCAGGCTGTAGTATTTTCTCATAGTGGTGCTTATATTAGGCTACTTGCAGATTTTCATATCATGTGTTTTTCCTGGTGACTAACATTGTGAAAAATGTTCGTCTATAGAAAAATGTGCTTCTGGCCTTGGAAAATGCTGGAATTTTCACCTCTGGTGGTATGGTAAAGGACAAGGTCTGTAATTGTGATTTGTGATCATTTGATTGTATAGTAATTTTCTTAGATTTAGATATATCAAATCGATATGTTCCTTTTTTTTGTTGGGGGGGGGTTATGTCTGGACTGTGAAATCTGGTGTCTGCTATAAAAAATTAGAACGTAAACTAATCGATCATTCTTTCTTTGCTAATTTCAGAAATTTAGTGTTATATCCTCTTGTTTTTGGTAACATGTTTAATATTTTTACATTGCCTGAAATGAATCTGCAGGTTCTCTTTTGCAGCACAGAAAATGGACGGACATCTTTTGTTCGGCAACTAGAACCGGATTGGCATATTGACACAAATCCCGAAATACTTTCTCAGTTAGCTGTATATTTTTTTCCTGCCATAATCTCCGACATAGTTAATCAATCAGCACTCGGAATATTCTGATATTAGATTTCTGAATATATTATTGTCACGATGCTTATGTTCTGATATTAGATTCCGGAGTCATTCTCGTCACAATGCCAATGATTTTGAGAGTTCTTTTCTTCTTCTTCGCAGAGGTTCATCAAATATCAACTCCACATTTCTCCTGTCGGATCTGAAAGGACTGCAGCAAATGTCTTCAGCTCTCCATCCTTGGAGCACTTCTTCAGATGCGCTCGACTCTCTTGAACCGGTAAAAAG